GATTTCAAACCTTAGAAATGCTTACTTGAAAAACTAGGAAATCACGAAGCCCTCCTTGTAACCTGTACAAACGTGTGCAAGCACGACATGTACTGCAGTGCTGCTTACTTGGAGCGCGTTTTCTTCATCAAGGTAAAACGGTTTGGGCCCCTATTAAGGAAGAGAGGAGGTGCTTTAATCTGATTATTGTGCTATAAGTTGGATCAAGGGGTGCACAATATTTAAGGGAAGCAAAATTATGAGAAACAAAAAAGTGTTTGATAATCGGAGATCTGAGGTCTCTTGTAGGTCTCCGCTGGAGATTGAAATCGCAAAAAGCTGCAGCGATTATCTCATTCTCTTTTTTCAAAGATTTTTCAAACACTTCTACTCTTTGTTTCGCATCTTTATGCCATTTTGGTGGGAGTTTATTGCCTATTCGCTTAGAGAAACCCGTTTACATAAATACTTTAAGTTCAAATTTCCGAACACCCGCAATGAATTAAACATCGATGGCGTACTGGAGCATGTTTCTGAAAGGACACAGATTGTGTATTGAATAATTAAGACAAGAATACTCAGGCCGCACGCGTGAACATCCCCACTACAAAGGGTTCAACATTCTTCTTCTTGAGATAGCGGTCATAATTGATAATGAACTCAAGTCTCCACGCCGAATCCTATACGACTTCCCCTTTATAAAACGGATCCTAGCTTGCTCTTCGGAGACCTGCCGCTGAGGTCTGACGATGAGACAATAAAAATCCCAGTGGTTATCGCATTCTAAGCTCTTTGAATATTTTATTACAGTAAGTGCTATTTATGACCGTTCGCGTTAGGTGTCTGCCTGAATCACCCAGTCTTGAATTTTGCAGTTATGCCAGAATTTGAGGGATTTGCTCTCGGTGTCCATTCCCTTAGAGGCATGGTTTTTAAGTAGATTTTATACTCGAATTTTCTATACTCTCTTTGATGACAGTAGGGGTGCAAGGAGAAAGGAGGAAGTATTCGCGTCAACCGGTATATATCCTATAGACACTGCCTTCGCATAAGACCTTTCCATCGTATAAATGGCTGATTCCACTTTTGTGCCACCAGTTAGTCCCCTTTTTCAGTTTGTTTACAAAAAGTCATTCAGCCGCAGGAAAAATTGCAACAATTATTCGTAAGCATTAACATTTAATAAGTAACCTTCTTGATTTTTAGCAAAATGAAACTATCTAATTTTAATCGCCGGACACTTCTAATTACCAGCTATTTGTATAAGTCCGTTAGGCATGCTACTTCTGAGGTTCATTACTGCGGTTTCATCCATTTGGTTGTTCAATAGGTTCGTGCCCCTTTTTTCAAACT